TGGTACATTGATGTATCTTCTCAAGTTCATTAGTTTATTTATGGAACTACTCAATTCATTTCTTTGGTGTACTAAATTCATAATTGGATATTAAGTGAAGATACATTGATGCATCTTCTTAAGTTCATTAGTTCATGGAACTATTCAATTCATGTACTTGAAGTACTAAATTTATAAATGGACATTAAGTGAAGATACATTATTGTATCTTCTCAAGTGCATTAGTTTATGTATTTGGTGTACTATATTCATAAATCGACATGAAGTGAAGTTCATGTACTTTTGCTCTTAGATTGCCTATAAATAGAGCTAGTCTAAACCTATCTTGTGGCAACTTGTGCTTAATTAAGTTATTTTAGATTTGCAAAACCAAATTCTTTCATTCCTATCTTATGAAAATTAAGGTTAAACTTGCCATAGGCTAGTTTTCGTTTCCTTAGGGGTAATTTGTCATTTTATCTCGGTTAGCAGGATAGTGGGGCAAATAACACCTTAAGCAAAGTGATTACATGTCTTGAAAACTCTTTTGAATTCCCTAAAAATTAGTTTAGTCAAATTCTTGAAATTATTTTTGTAATAGTTTTATTGTAAGTTCCATGCACTTGTAATCCCTATTTTCTCCAACAGCTTGCCATGCTGACTCATAGATTAAGAATACAAGAGTGTCAGAATCATATTTATTGGATTTTCTTTTTGGACAATATTTTAAGGAATTAGCCGAAATTTTGGAGCTCTTTAAGAGATGGAATCTAAAAAGTTGTGTTCATATATATATATCTGTGAAAACCATTTGAAGGGTAACAGGTAAGTTACCAATTTTTAAATGCACGAGAGTGAATACTAACTTTCGGAGTGCACAAGAAGGGGTTTCTGATAAGTTGCCTCCAAAATTTTGAAAGTAAAACATAGTTATAAGAATTTGTAAGAACTTGAAAATTTAAAACCTCTCATAGTATTTCAGTGATGCATTAACTGAAGATTAAAACTCCACAAAATTTTGAGAGTACAAGATGTCGGAGTCAAAAAGCTGAAAAGTTTCAAGAATTCACAATACTTTGTCATGTAATTTCTTTCCAAGGATTATAGATAGAATTGTCTACCATCATGATTCAAGTTATAAATACAACATCATCATAACAGCATAGAGTTTTCTTGAAGCAGCTATGAAAAAAAGCAAGCCTATCTATGAAACATGGTCTGTACAACAAATGCTTCTCTCAAGCTGTCATCATAACTGTTGCATGAACGCTTTACCAAATAACAAATTTGTTAAGACCCATAAAATAATTATCACTTGAACAAATATATATGAAAAGAGAAGAAAAAAACCTATGAAACTAGACGTATAAAATAATCGCCAGCTTCTGTTGTAACAATGTGCTGTAATTCCATCACCTTACAGACAACACCAACTTCCCAGCTTAGGGTAAATGGCAATGTTACAAATACCGTCACGGAACTAAGCATGTAAAACATCCTTACTGCTATCCGCAGGCAACGGGCTGCATCTCCGCCACCATTGCAGCATGTTGCTCTAAATACTCCCGACTATTCATCTCGGTTAATCTACATTAGATTTTAAGACAACAAATATACATTTTAAGAACTCAGTGGAGTGAATGAGCCCAAATCAGGAATGCTACATAATGAATGGGTCACAAATTATGCACCACATGCATGTCTGGGATCACAAACCATTTAGGTTAGCTGATTGGTGGTAAACAAAATCTACCTGCTAATGGTACGATCTTTTGCAAAGCCCAGTTCATTGTCCACACAAAGGTCAGAATCATCACTCTTCCTCGATCTAGAAGAAGTTCTGGGTGACATTTGCTGAGCATCAGCAATCGTCACTATCTTTTCAAAAAGTTCAACTGGAGACCCTTCAGCTGTGCATAAGAGTCTAGCCTTGTTCTCATACATCACCTATCCAATGATGGGGTGTAAAATGTCAAATCTTGTTCCCTCAAGAGAACTGAATGCCCTAGAACATAATAGATGTGCAGAAGTTTCTTCTCAGAGTATTTGATTTTTGTTTTAAAAAGGATCTACACGTTGTACTGCAGCATGTCCTATAGGGATAAATTTAGAGGATTTTGCTCTAATATAGGACTACGAGGATGACAAAATTTGAGTAAATTGACTGGAATCGGATGCCGTTCCTCTTCCTGGTCCTTTCTATTAAATAAGAATTCCTGTACAATCTATTTTTGGTAAACCCCTATATATACTTGATTGATTGACCTAATATACAGCTATGGTAACTGATTTTCTATTCTAGGCAAGAAATATATACAGATTGTAGCCATAATGTCTGTCATAATCTGCCATAATCTTTCCCATAACCTCTGCCATATAATCTGCCATAATCTTTCCTATAACCTCTGCCACAATCTCTGCCATTCTGCCATTGATCAATCTCTGCCATTGATACCATTGATATCCCCCCTCAAATATTTGTCAACAAGAAAGTGATGACGATTTTTGGAGAGAGCTTTAGTAAACACATCCGCAATCTGGAGATCAGTGGGGATATGCGGAAGAGAGATGACCTGAGCATCATATGATTCACGAATAGAGTGACAATCCACTTCAATGTGTTTGGTACGCTCGTGAAATACTGGATTAGCCGCAATTTGAATTGCACTAGTGTTGTCGGCATGAAGCGGTGTAGACCCTTTTTGAGGAAACCCGAGCTCACCTAACAATCCACGGAGCCAAACAATTTCAGAGCATGCAGAAGACATAGCACGATACTCAGACTCTGTAGAAGACTTAGACACCCTGTCTTGCTTCTTGCTTTTCCAGGAAACGAGAGAAGTACCAAGGAACATGCACCAACCAGTAACTGAACGTCTAGTATCAGAACAACCAGCCCAATCAGCATCACTATATGCAATCAGGCGAATAGGAGAGTTTGCTGGAAAGAAAAGACCACGAGAAGAAGTGCCTTTCAAATAGCGAACAATGCGGCGAACAGCTGCCAAATGAAGGTGCCGAGGTGCTTGCATAAACTGACTAACTTGTTGAACAGCAAAAGAGATATCAGGGCGAGTAATAGTCAGGTAGTTTAGACTACCCACCAGCTGTCGATATAAAGAGGGATCAGAGATAAGATCACCTTCATCATGACGATACTTAACATTCACTTCCAAAGGGGTATCAACGGATCGACCATCTTGAAGACCAGCCAAAGCAATTAACTCCCGAATGTATTTGTGCTGGGTTAAGAAAATACCGGTGGAACTAGAATATACCTCAAGACCTAAAAAATACTGTAAAGAACCCAGGTCCTTCATATGGAAACAACGTTGAAGATGGTCTTGAAGTTGAGAAATCAATGCATAATCAGTCCCGGTAATAACAATATCATCAACATATACAAGAAGTATGACAATGCCTTTAGATGTCTTGCAAAGAAACAAAGAGGAATCATACTGGCTTTGGACAAAGGAGAAACCAAGAAATGTGGAACGAAATTTATCAAACCAAGCACGTGGAGCTTGTTTCAAACCATAGAGTGATCGTTTCAACTTACAAACATCACCTGAAGGTGTGGAGAATAACCCTGGTGGTGGAGTCATATAAATGTCTTCTTTCAGATCTCCATGTAAAAAGGCATTCTTAACATCCATCTGTCGCAGTGACCATCCCTTAGAAGCAGCAATGGCAAGAACAAGTCGTACCGTAGTCATCTTTGCTACAGGAGCAAATGTCTCCTCATAATTGATTCCATATTCCTGTCGATTACCAAGGGCCACCAATCTCGCTTTATGTCTATCAAGCGTTCCATCGGACCGTAGTTTAATGGAATAGACCCATTTACAGCCAATGGGTTTTACACCAGTAGGACAAGGTACGATGTCCCAAGTATGATTCTCCAAAAGAGCTTGAAGTTCTTCGTCCATAGCTTTTACCCAACATGCATGTTTAGTTGCTTGAGAATAAGAGGAAGGTACTGCAGTGTCAACTAAAGTGGCAGAGAAACCATACCTATCAGGAGGTTTGCTGATACGGGAAGATCGTCGCAGAGTCACAGAATCATCAGAAGTGGTAGGCAGTGGAGCAGGATCGGGAAGGATTTCTACTGATGGAGGTTGTCGACGTTGATAGACAATGCCAGGTCTAAATCGTTGAATTGGTGGAGAGATATCATCAAAGCTAGGAAGAACAACATTGTTGGAAGGAAAAGTGTGCTGCGGAAAATAGTACTCATGCTCAAAGAAAATGACATGTCGAGAGACACGCAAACGATTAGCAACAGCATCATAACATAAGAATCCTTTTTGAGTGGTGCTATATCCCATAAAGGCACACCGAACTGACTGAGCTGCAAGCTTGTGGCGCTCATGAGGTGGTAGGTGAACAAAACAAACACAACCAAATGTGTGTAGCATGTGATAATTAGGATGTACACCAAAAAGACGATAATAAGGAGAATCAAAACCCAATTATTGAGAAGGCAATCGATTAATCAAATACACAGCAGTTGACAAAGCTTCAACCCAAAATCTAGGGGGTACAGAAGATTGCAAGAGTAATGTTCGAACCATATCCAACAAATGGCGGTTTTTGCGTTCAGCCACCCCATTTTGTTGAGGGGTATAAGGACATGATCTCTGAGATACAATCCCTTTGCGTTGCAAGTAGGCTTGGAAGTCATATGACACATATTCCCCACCATTATCAGACCGTAAGATCTTAATACAAGTGGAAAACTGTGTCTCAATGTAAGCCACAAAGGTTTGAAAAACAGTAAACACCTCAGCTTTAGTGCGCAGGAAATATATCCATGTGAACCGACTATAGTCATCAATGAATGTCACAAAGTATTTATACTGCGCATGTGAAATGACAGGAGTAATACCCCAAACATCACTATGTATTATCTCAAAGCATGCACTAGCACAACCAACAGAAGTAGGAAAAGGTAACATCTTACTCTTCCCCAATTTACACACAGAACAACCAAGAGATGATGCATGAGCAAAACCTTGATCTTTAGCACCAAGAAAACCACGCTTTATTAAATCAGATAAAATGACATTATTTGGATGACCTAATCGTCTATGCCAAATTTCAGCCTTATTGTCAACAATCATAGAGGCTAAAGATAAAGTTCTAGGAATAGTAAATTGCAATGGAAATAATCTTCCCACTCTAGGCCCCTTCGCGATTACCTTCCCCGACATCTGGTCCTTGACCTTGAAGTCCAAGGGCAGAAAATGCAGTAAGAATCATCTGCTGGACCATTTCTGGGGTCAGAACAGTCTGGCTGGTGGTAGATGTAGGACCAATAACAGGAGCATCTGGAACAGTAGCTTGAAAAGCTTGGGCTCGCCTGTTTTCCGGACGTGTAGGACATTCCTTGAGAATATGTCCACTTTGCTTACAGTAACTGCAGAATTTCTTACCACAATTGCGAGCAATATGGCCAAACTCCTTGCAGCTGTAGCACTGCATTTGTCCCTTTCCTCTATTCCTTCCTTGTGCAGCATAAGCAACATTGACAACCTCTGATGTCCCACCAGCTGCACTTAGAATTGACTGTGTAGCCAATCTTTGTTCTTCCCGTAACAATTCACCAACACACACATCCAAAGAAGGAACTGGATTTCGATTCAGCAATCCACCCCGAGCAGTCTCAAATTCTGGCCTCAGTTTCATCAAAAACTGATCACGCATGCTAACTTGATGAACTTTTTGAAAGCTTGCTAAGGCCTCCTTAGGTATCTCAAAGTAGATGATATCAGAATATTCACCCCACAGATTTAGAAATGCAGAATAATATTGCTCAATAGACAGATTACCTTGACTGAACTTACTGATATCAAGTTCAAGCTGAAATCGTCTTGCAGTGTTGTGTTGATGATATATGCGTTTCAGAAAATTCCATATCTCCTTTGCAGTATTAAATGAACGTAAGCTGTTCACCATATGAGGTTCAATGGATGCTAAAATCCATGAAATAATTCGTGAATCATTTGATTCCCATTGACTTATTTCTTTCTCAGTTCCAGAAGCAGTAGAAGACCCATCAATGTGACCCCAAAGCTCCTTCCCTTTCAGAAACATTCTGAACTGAAACAGATATTTCAAGGAAAAGGACTAACATCAACTAAAGTGACAAACCGATATGCAGCAGTCCTGTTGTGGAGACCCAAAGTTGGCACACCTTCCAAAGCCAGTGTGTGAAATTTCTCTGCTCAAAAGAACAGCATTGATCAGCGGCTCTTCGAAACATGTATGACTGTGTGCTTAATTATCCATTGCAGCTAAGAATAATTAGGGCAAAACAGATAACCATCCTTAAGCCACCAGTGTCTATATTTTATGTCCAAAATCCAGAAAAAGAAGGGGGAGGGGGGGGGGGATGGAGAATTGAAAAGCCAAAAGACTTACTAAATAATCCAAAATAATCTGCAGCCCCAAGTGGTCTGTCACAGAGTTCCTCGAACGGGAAATAGGCACAGCCATTAGCACCCAGCGGAACCTGAAAAGTCAGTAAATAAGAAAAGAATGAGAAACGATCACGCATTCACCACCACTCACCCACCTCTCCAAGACCATTGCAAATCTCAGACAATGTACACACCTGCAATGTCCTTCCCATAACTACTTCCACCTCTTGTGGTACAGCTTTGTGGTTGCCGATCAACTGGTGAAACTTTTCATTTAGAAGGCTTGACAGGTCTTTCCCAACAAAGTAGAAACCCTGCTGTGCCTGCATTGCAAGAGAAAAGTCTCTAGTCACACAGCTAATTCTTTGTTTTTGTGAAATAGTGGTACTACTAGATTTTATGCAATCGGAAACCATAACTACACATAAGCAAAAATAACTTCTCATAGAGTAAATCAGATGAATATGATACGTTACCGAAGTCATCTTACGGTAGTCTACTGATGACCCAATTTCATGAACAATACATCTTTCCTGTCTCAAAACAGATATCAAAAATACCAGTTGGCAAGACATCAACAAAAAGAGAGAATATAAGCACAAGGTAGAAAATACAAGTATTGGTGGAGAGAGAGAGAGAATGCATGTGCGTGTGTTGTGAAAGCTTTCTCACTCATACTATTGGATTCATAGTCATTTTAAACGAATGAAATAATCTCTAGGACCAGGCAATCAGATTAGTTCAAATGTCATAAAGATGATCAGCGCAAAAAACATAACTTTTAGGAATTAGAGTAGCTAATCACCATTAATCCTTGAGATTCATACCTTCAGTAAAGCTATAAAAGGAAGAAAGAGATCCCTTTGAAGTCCACGCTCATAAAGATTATCAGGAGCACGGTTTGATGTAGCAACAAGGATCTACACTTATCCCCATCATCAACCAAATACAAAGCTTCAGTTTCTTATTTTAACAAGTCTCCATAAAGTATGAAGCCATTAAAACAAATTTGAAGAAAGTTCGAATTACTTACAGCTCCATGGCTAAATAAGTGCCTAAATAAACGATTTAGTATCAATGCATCAGCAACATCAGTAACCTACATAGATACAGGAAGACTCTCAGACAAAAGTAAGCAAGTGGAGGAGAATTCGTTTTTATGCTCCATTACTAGCTTCACAACTCTATGAGCTCATCTGGTACTAGACAAACTCAAACTGATCCAGGATCACAGAAAAAGTTTTCTGTGGTAGTACACATACTTTACAAACACAAAAGTAATACAATTATTACACAATTCTCATTACCATGAATTCATCAAGACATAACAAGATTGATTCATCTGATACTTCTCCAGCAACAACTTCTAGGGGATCAGCAACACCGTTGTGCTTCTGCAAATGTAGGAGTTCAAGGAAAAGTGTTTCAATAAATTCTTTAGTATTGCATCAAAGAGTAAATTGTATCAAATTACAATTAAATCAAATCATTCATAGACATAGCCAGCATGAATAAGCATTAGATACCTTAACATATCATTTGATGAAGGAAAATAAGAAATAAGTGGTTAATGGAGAGATTAGCAGGCATTAGTTGGTTAGTATAGAAGCATTGCACATTGGGATAGTCAGCAAGAGCTCCAATTGACTATCAACCAGTAACCAGTCCATTAGCAAATATACATTAAATACTAGGAAATAAATCTTGATAATTAGAACCTAAAAAATAATCATAATTAGAAGACTGCAGGGGTTAAATTCATACTTGCAAGCGGCTGTGGACATTCAGCATAAAGTCATGAAAATGAATTCTTTTCTTCCTCCAATTGCAAGGCCTGAAAATCAAGTGAACAGTTGAACGGCAATAATTTTACGTGTTTGCACACTCAATAGCAATCAAAATGCAGACACAAATTATCATTCTATATCATTTTTAGTCTTATACTTACAACTGATCAAAAAACATGTCCATCAACATAGTTTTCCCAGTACCAACTCCTCCACAAAGATAGAGTCCTTTCACAGGAGCATATGAAGACTGTGGTATGAAACGTGACCACAACCACCGACTCCTGAAATAAGCAAAAGAGTGACAAATTGCTGACACTTACTTGAAAAATGATTGAAATGAAAAAATGAAATGATACTTGGATACAATTACATTGGACTACAGATTCATAACGATTAACAACAAATGATTGAGAGCTTGGTAAGGTTCACCTTCCTGCTTTCTCCGAAGCTGTATATCGATCAAGTCGGCAAGCATCAGCTTTCTCGACCAGCTCATCATAGAGTCTCTGCAGTTGTCTCAGGGTGCCTAACTGCAAATCAATGTCAGGATGTCTTTGACAGGCAAAATAACAACATAGGGCTCACTCTTATGAGTAATCTCATGGCACAGTAATAATTTGCTTAATATCAACTTTTTCCTTCCAAATATCCATGTTTGATTTCAAGCAAATACAATTTTTTTAGATAATTCAATTTTAAGTACCAAAATTACCAGTAACCAGGATGTTTAATTCAAACCAGCACATTAACAAAGAATACAAGAAACCTAGTACGGCAATAATTACAAAAGCTAAAAAGGAAACCCTATTTCATTAAAACAAATTATGGACAGAAGGAATTGAGAAACTTAGCAAGATGCAAATAATGGTCAAATTCTTATAATCAATATTTCCATTTTCCCGCTCAAACTGGCACCCAAATACACTTGGAAAACAAAAATCCAAATTACAAATCCACCACCAAATTGCATGATGTATTGTTTTATTGTACTAGCAACCTGGCAAATATCTCCATCCACAAGTTCACCAGCAGCTATTCTTCGTTCATATTCTACAAGAGGACCTCCTTGAATTAATTCTGCAATAAAACCAATGGAACCAATAACCAGCCAAGAGGAGAACATCAACCTTACGAAACAAGTGTAACCAAATAACAAAAGCAGAACAGAAAATTCGTGAAAAGGGCAAGTTTGGATGCTTAATTCACAAAGAGGCACGACATTCAGGTATTTATTATGAAGCCATTTGTGCTAAATCTACAAAGTTTTCAAGAAAAACATTTAGCATATATTTTGTAAAAAATGCAATACGAATTCCATTCAAAATTAATTGCCCAAAAGTGTGCCCTCTTCATTAGTTAGGCATCTTAGTGCGCCCTTTTCCCTAATTTTCCCAAACTATAAACTGAATCATAGTTAGATAGTAACCTCCATTAGCTACATTAACGGCATCAGTATGCAAAGCTCTCGAGATCATGTAAGAAGGATGCTGGCATCTCCAAAAATCTGTACACTAGGCGTATAGTAGACTGACCCTCCATTCTTATTAACCCGACAATGCTGTCTTTTTGAGAGCCCATTATAGAATATATCTCCTCTATATCGCAAAGCTGATCTAAATTGTCTAATGGACCTAAGAATTGCTCTCATCTCCAGTCCAGGACTTCAATACAAGAATAAAGATACAAGGAACGAATTTGACACGAGTCCTTTGAATTTCACCTGAATGTTGAAACAAGTTGCAGCAAAAGAATCACGTGTTTCAATCAGAATATATTCCCACTTTCACTTTAATCAGAATAAACAGAAACATGAATCTACCTAGTAGTATATTAATTCAGGAGATTAACAGCAGATTATCTTAACAGAAAAGCATTGTCTCCAATTAAAAAACAAAAAGAAAGAAAAGGGCAAGTTGAAAAACCTGATTGGCTGACTGAGCAGAACCCAGGTAATCAAAATTGGTGATGATGTGAAGGATTGAATGATTCTTGAATTTTTACTATTGCATACTTAAAACAATAGTCAACTATATAAAGGGTATACAAAAGCAAGTATTTATTAATCAAATATTGTTGGAAATTGGGAATTAAAGACTAAAAGATAATCAAAATATCGGTCAAGGAATGACGCTGGGGCAAGTTCTTGAAGAGAGATCCCAGCCTCCGATGCTCTATGGCCTATGGGAGTCTAAGGTGTTTTTAGTGTTTTCATTTCCCCTTTTTTGTATTTTTGGTTTTTTTTTTTGTTTGGCACATTATCAAGCTGTCACAGATTTTTTTTTTCATTTTCCCCTTAATTTTATTACGGGTTGTAATTACCTTTTTTTTTTCAAAATTTAATTATTTCTATGTTTTTTTTCCTGTCACCAAAGCCCTCCTCCACATTCTCTTCTCCCTAATTGGTTGGGACAAAAATAACAAGGCTAAAATTGATAGGTTATTATCACTTTACCGCCTTAACGTTCAGTGTTATTACCAATATCCCCCTTAATGTTATATTTTAGTCACTTTACCTCCAAAACTAACGATCAAACTTAACGGAATTTATTAATTAAAATAAAAAGACATGTTTATCCCTTAAAATTATTATCACTTTACCCCTATAAACTATAATCTCATTATCAATTTATCCTCTAAAGTTATTTTTTGGATAATTTATCCCACCATTAAACCAATTTAGCAAGTTAAAAAAATTTAGAAGAAATTACCCTCCTCTTTGTATAAAAAAATTTAGAGTCGCTCTTCTCCTTTTTTGTATCAAGGAAAAAAAAGTCAAAATATTAATCTCTTTGTTCTTGGCAATCTTATTAATATTAAAAAAATATAAAAAGATGGGGAGAGAGAAAGAGACGTGTACTGTTCATTCCAAAGTTTTCAAATTTGTCCAAAATGATTTCCTTTTATGATATTTTAAAGGGACCCTACTGGTACGTGTACTGTTCATTCCAAAATTTTCAATTTTGTCCAATAAAGAAATTTGTTCAGGAACATTTTGTTTTCTTTTTTGGGCACTTTGTTCACAAACATAGTAGCGGACTCAACTATCTTTTTCTAATTGTTTTAAAGGGAAAATCGTTCAAAACATCCCTCACATTTTGTAAAATGACTTTTTTCGTGCCTCACTTTTAAAAGTTTAATTTTACGTCCCTTATAAATTCATATTGGTCAAATTTGGTCCTTACCTAGGTTTTTGACTAGTTTTTAGTCGAAATCCATCACGTGCCTTGTATGTGATTTTTTTTTAAGGGCAAAATTATCAAATTAATTTTACACAATTCGATCCATAGTTCCTCATATTTCATAAAATAAATTTTTTTGTCTCTATCATTTCACAAAATGGATTTTTTCATCCCTCACATTTTACAAAATAAATTTTTTCGTCCCTCATTGATCATATGTATGAATAGTTTTTTAAAAAAAAAATTCATATATATATCTATTTAATTTTACTTGAACAATACAAATAACATGTGTACAATTATAATTAGCCTATTTAGACAAAATCAAATAATTTGGACATTGTCGAATGTTTATATCGAATTAAATTTGAATAAAAAAATCAAAGAAAAAGTATGACAAAAAGAAATAAGTAATTAGCACTTTCAAATTTTAAAACAATCACAAGACAAGTAATTCAATTGTTGGTCTTAAAAGTCGCAAGTAGAAATTTCAAATTTAAACTACAATTCAAGTTAGTATGACTATAGAATTCAAGTTAGGATGCATTAATTAGATGACCTTATTATACAACTCAATAAATGAATTATTACTAAAAGAGAAAAGATTACAAATATTGAACAAATTCACATGGTGAAATCAAATAAATATATCTATTGAATAGTATGTGTACAATAACAATTAACCTGTTTAGGTAAAATCAAATAGAGAGATATTACATGCTATTCGTATTATTCATGTGAAATCAAATAGATATATACGTGGATAAAAAAATTTTATTCATATACATGGTCAATGAGGGATAAAAAAATTCATTTTATGAAATATGAGGGATGAAAAAATTCATTTTGTGAAATGTGAGGAAAGAAAAAATTTATTTTGTGAAATGTGAGGGATTCTAGTTTAGATTATGTAAATTTTGATTTGACAATTTTGCCCCTTAAAAATAATCACGTGCAAGGTACGTGGTGGATTCAGACTAAAAACTAGTCGGAAACCTAGGTAGGAACCAAATTTGATCAATGTGAATTTATAAAGAACGTAAAATTACACTTTTAAAAGTAAGGGACGGAAAAAGTTATTTTGCAAAATATAAGGAATGTTTTGAACGATTTTCCCTTTTTTTAATAACAAAAATCTGGTAGTAGCTATTTTCGTTTTTTTTTTCCCCTTTTGTCTTTCTTGAAGTTATGATTAGCGCCAATTGTCAAACAATTATTCATTTTGGTCTCCGTTATTTTACGTACAAAGTTCAAATGTTCCCCAATGTGCCTCGAGCAAGCAAACAAGATAATTAGAAGAGAAAATTGCACCAATTGTTTCTTACATATTATTGATATGAAATTTTAGTCCCTTAAAATCAAAATGAGCGAGTTTAGCTTTTAATAAATTGAAAAAAAACCCTCTCTTTTGATCCCTCGTTACCTTTCCTCCCAAATTTTTGCCAAAATATGTCACGAACCAATCATATGATCAATTTTCGAAAGACAAATTTGGTGACTCATTTAATATTTCTCATTTGATCTACCATTTTTCCTAATTATTCTTTGCCCAAATCCTAATTTTACAAACTCAAATCCAGATCACTTATTTTCCTCTTTCACCGTCATCCACCCATACCATTCCCATTTCCACCATTGCCATCTGACCTCTCACTCCTCACTTGCCACCTCTTCCACCTCTCCTTCCTTTCTCCTCTTCTTTCCCCTATGTTATGGGTCTTGTAAATAGGTCTATTTTGTTTTCTCCCTCTATTTTTTAAAAACCATGAAAATGGGTTTTCTAAAGTTTCAAACATTTGTTGTAATTTTGTTGATTCTTGAGGTTATATGGCTAATTTTGGGGTTTTACTGAAGTTGTATATTTCATATGGGTCATTTTGCTAAAAATTCAATTTTTGTAATGTTTTGATGGAAAAAAGTAAAAAGAAACCACATTTTGGCCATTTTGACCATTTTTGTCTACGGCAGTATTACCATAGCCGTCGGCGGTGTGAGGACTTGCAAAATTCTTCATATTTTCTTAAAATTCTCTTTTATTTTGAATAAGTTAATTTATAATTTCTTTACTACTAAATTACTCCCTCAATAGTTGTAATAAATGATAGAATCGAGAGTTTTACTTTTACTTTGAGAGTTAGGGTAAATTAGGGTTTTGCGCATTTTGGTAGTGTGATTAGTTGGTGAGATGTGTGTACCAAATTTGGTGGATAAGAGTGAGTATTAGGTAAGAGGAAGTGTGTGATTAGAAGTGCTATTAATAAGTTAGTGAATCATAAGTTAAAACACAAGTACGAGAGAGTTAAGGAAAATAGACTTGAACCGACGTGCACCGTTTGTTACCGATTGAGTACACCACTTGACCATTACTTTCTTACCCTAATCTTCTTGGTTTTATTTCATCTAATCAGTCCTAAATTAAGCCCTAAACCAGCCGAAAATTTTGACTAAAGAAAGGTGAGAAAAGAAAAAAAAAAAAGAAAGAACCTTGAGTTGCCAAGCGTTGGCAATCAAGGAAATGTTTGACCAAGCCAAATTCTTCCTTCTTATCTTTCCTTTTTGCTAAATTCTCTTCATTTTCTTCTTGAGTTGGCCGATCCTTGGGAGAGAAAAAAAGAGAAGAAACCTCCAACTACAACCTTGATTTGCCTTGTTTGAGTTGAATCACAAAAATCTAAACCGATTAAACTTACATCAAGGGTGTTACGAAGCTTGGTGTGGTGAATTTCTTTGGAAAATTTGCTTGGTTCTTCACTTTTCAAAAAGTATTGGAAGGTATAAGCTTATCAACTTCCTTTCTCTTTCTTATTCTAGCTAAATATGATGAAGATGGCTTGAATCTTGGAATATTATGGATGATCTTCTAGTTTTGGTGTTGATTAGTGAAATTTCAGCTAGGGTTTGGTAATTTTCAGCCTTGATTATGTTGATTAACTATAAAATGTTGGTATTGAACTTGGATATGAATTTGTGAGGTGATTAGTAGCATGATTGTGACTTTTTAACTTTAAAAGATGAAATTTCAGCTTTGGTGAGAAAATTCCAACTTTGATAGTGGATGAGTATTTGTTAAATTTGATGGTTTTTAGCCTAGATGACGAGCTATCTTGATATGCCTACTTGTGGTGTTTGAATTGGGTTGATTTGAGGGAAAAAAAATGAAGCCTTAAATGGCTAGAAAATTGATAAATACAAAGGATATGCTACCCAAATTTTCTTCCGTAGGATAAGCGGAGCGAAGTTGGAACTTGAGCAGTGATTCGTGGACGAATTGGACTTCGGTTGTTTAGAGTATTCAAGTTTTCTTTAGTAGAAGTATATAAACTGAAATTTTGCCAAAACTCGTACACTTTATAAGGCAAAAGTAGCGACCACTTTAAATACGATTTTCTCGTCTTTTATACCAAGTTACGAACTTATAAGTGTTAAACGCTTCTTTATCAAAATCAAAAGAGCGAGCATGAATTTTTTAGAGTTTGATAAGTAAAATGAATACTATTTAAACAAGTTTCATTTACTTGATATTCTTTAAGCGAAACTCCTATATTTCGAACCCTAATTACTTTCAAACTCTTAAATGATATTTTATCGCAGATTTGGACTCCAATCAGGGAGTTGCACCTGAACGTGGTTTTGAAAAGTCATAAGTCTTTGGTAAGTGTTTCCAAGTATATGATCGAACTTGATATTTGAATGAAATATTTGCCTTGTTTGCATGGGCAAGGGTGTACTTTATCGCACTTGCCCTAATATGACATATTATTGTTTATTGGTTGCAATTGACTTGATATACACGTATATGATTTGAATACTGTTTGGAATTCCAGAAACCCTGTGGCTAGTTAATCGAGTCGAACCGGTAAAGGCCAGGTCGATTAGATAATGAACCCTAGGTCTCTTGTTTGTCGAGTGAAGTGTTATCTCCTCGACTAATCGGTATGCTCGAGTATTATCACCAGTATTTATCTTGGAATTTGGACCCGGTAGGTGGATTGAATGGTGGACGGAGAGTGGA